ATTATAATCTTTAGTTCCTTCTGGTTCCCTCTAGTGTCCAACCTTCAAAGTCTCATCCTATTTTGTTTTTGTTTTTTTTAAGAATTGAAAACAAATGTATCTTCCCATGGGAAGGATACTTATAATTAATTCCAAAATCTTATTTCAAATCTATTTGGACCCTTAGTCCATTTGTAACTTTCCAAAATCAAAGTCTAATCACCCTTTTGCTGTTTATTCCAAAAAAAGAGGTTTTTTAAAAAAGTCCTTAAACTTGTATTTAAAAAACATCTTTCACTAAGGATTGAAGGAAACTCACCTGGTGCTGTAAAACTTGTTGATCTAAAGGTTCCTAATAGCTAAAAAACAGTTAACAGGCAATTTCCAAAAGTGATTAGAAAATGTGAACTCAGCGTCCTTAAAGGCACCAACATGGTTTGAGCAAAATGGCTATTCCCTTGTCTTCCAGAGCTCTAAACCCACCAGAAATGGCTGTCTTGCACTTGTGGGTGATCTCAAGTCCTTTCCTTGTTCAGGGAGGAATTACAAAGAGCCGGTCTATTTGCTGGCTCTTCATTCCGCCATTGTCATCGGCTCTACTGTCTTCAGTTCACCATTTCTTCCCCAGAAGTCCCAGTTTTGGTTTTGATTTTTAAAAGATATTACTAAATGAAGCTGTCTTGATGGAATGTGTTACATATTTTGGATTTATGTGTGTTCTGTCTTTCAGTGGAAGCTTTAACATTCCCCCCTTCATCTGGGAAATCTTTCATTATGGGTGCAGATGAGACCCTTGAAAGTGAGCTTGGCCTTGGGGAATTGGCAGGCCTTACAGTGGCCAATGAGGCAGATTCACTGACATATGATGTAAGTGCTAATCTATTAATGTTGCAATTATTTTAGTTTTGAATAGTGGTAAATCTCTTTGATGACACAGAGAAGCTTTTAATCAGGAGGAGTCTGGTAGCACCTTTTCTAACTAATGTTATTCAAAGGTATAAGCTTTCTTGAGCTGCAACTCAATTTATCAGATGTATAGAGTGACTAGACCAACATAGGATTTAAATTAGGGTGAGGCAGGGAGGGGAAGAATAGGTGCTTATGCAGATGTAGGTTGTAAAAGGGACAGATTTCCAGTAGTTAACAATAGTAATGTGTTAAAAACCCATTGGGTTTGTTGAGACCTTCTGAGATTGCCTGAAACCATTTGATGTATTGCTCCATGGTGGTGCTAAGTTCTCTTTTTCCAGTTATTTTGTGGTCTGCCATAGAGTGAGAGATCTTAAGAGAATGCAGCAATATAAGCATTTAAAACAAAGAGAACTGGCTATGAGGGAAGAACCAATGAAAGGAGGAGAATTACAGAGTTTGAAATTATATCTAACCCTTCAAACTATTAATAGACATGCTGAGTACAGATATATATAGAGAGAGCACATTTCTTTTCAGGTTATATCCAGTGCCGTTTTGTAGATTACAGTATAAGTATACATTACTGATTGGCTGTTGAAATGTTTTTAATGTGTTACTTTAATACAGAAATTTGTATCGGATTTGAAAAATCAGTAGCATTTTAACTTCTAACATTTTGCTGCAGACACTCCTTACTAAGTATTTGATAACAGGACAGTGAAGTACATCTTCTGTCAAGTGATAAATATAATTTGTATTAGTATATTCCCATTTGCCTGTCAGAGTTCTAGTTTCTGTTCTTGTTACAACAGATAGCAAACAATAAAGATGCTCTGAGGAAGACTTGGAATCCCAAGTTTACTTTAAGGAGCCATTTTGATGGAATAAGGAGCCTGGCTTTTCATCCAATTGAACCAGTGTTAATTACAGCTTCAGAAGACCATACATTAAAAATGTGGAATTTGCAAAAAACTTCTCCAGCAAAAAAGTAAGATGATGGCTGAAATAGATACATTCCTTTAGGTTATATGTTGAAGAAATACAATAGCAAAAATAATATTTTAGACCCAATTTATCTTCCATGACAGTAATATAATTATCCATTAGTGTAAAGTTAGGTGCAAAGTTGTTTGTATGCAAGTAGAACTCCTAGCATTCACAAAGAGAACTGGGAAATAGAGAAAGTTTATTAGTGGAGGAAGAAGGTGGAACATTAAAATTCTATAGTTTCTCTTTGCAGGGGTTGTACCATATACATTTAAATAAGTGTACAATCATCCTCATTTGGGCAAAAAATCCTAAGTTCGCTTATATACTGATGGGGTCTGGGCATCCTATAATTAACCAGAAAAAAAAATCTGGTCCTAGTGGATAGTCTAGTGAAGGCGTTAACTTGGTATGCAGCAACTGTGAAGATTCCATGCAACGCATCATTAGGAGAAGAATCGAAAATAAAAATGCCAACATCATAAATTTATGCTATGTCTTATTATTTGAAAAAGGATGTAATAGAACTGAAAAAAATTCAGAAGAGGGAAACCAAAATGATCATCTTCTGTATGAGAAAAGGCTAGAATATTTGGGACTATTTAGCTTGGGAAAAAGGCAACCCCATTGGGACATGATCAAGGTATATAAAATCATGCACAGCATACAAAAAGTGGACACATAGATAGTTTTCTCCCTTTGGCAAAGTAGGGGCCATCCAATGAAGCTGATTGGAAAAAAAATAAAATAGCCAAAATAAATAAATAAAGCCACTCCACGCAGCACATTTTTAACTTGAGGAATTCATTACTTCAAAGAATGGTGATGGCTACTAACTTGGGTAGCTTTAAAAAGGGATTTGATAAATTCATAGAGAACAGTATCTTAAGTGTTACTGTTCTTGAAGACTCATTTTTATATTTGAATACCATTAGCATAAAAATAATAGTGGGGGAAGGACATGTCTGTGTTTCCTGCTTGCAAATACTCCAGCTGCACCAGGTTGGTTATTGTGAGAAACAAAAAGCTGGACTAAAATGGTTATTGACCTAATTATTCAGGGTTGTTTTTATGCACTTTTATTTTTGTTTAGGAGCACCTCACTTGATGTTGAACCTATCTATACTTTCAGAGCACATAAGTAAGTAAATGTGGAAGAAAATATAAATTCTAATTTTGTTGTCACAAATGTAGCACTGCAGCTTCTCTTATAAGAGAACTGAGGGATGATGCAAACTATGAAATAGTGGTGAGCAGTTGCTTCATCTTGTGGTTGAAGCTGAGCTCACCACATACTGAATGCTTCTGAACATATCTTATATACTTGTGGTAACTAAGAACTCTCACGGTGTACTGGTGGTACAGTCAGTCGAATGATTGCATTGGTTTCTCTGGCTGCTATTGCTTCTATCTCTGTGAGCTGCGCAGAATATAGAGGTAATTCTTTCTTGTTAGGCGGTCTTAAAATTTTCTCCCAACAGTGCAAAGAAATAGATTTTGGGAGTGTGCTTAGAAGATTTACCTCTGTGTTTACTGTGGGATGCTGCACACTAGCTCTTCATTTCTCAGACAAAAAACATCTGGACATCTATGATTTCTACTGCATGTGTGTAAATTATTATATAGAGTTGTTAGTGTTGGATACAATCTGTCATTAGGGAAAAAAATCACTAATAGAGTACTGTTATGACATGCTTTCTCCTACAGCAGTCCAGTGCTTTGTGTAGTGATGAGTAACAGTGGTGAGCAGTGTTACAGCGGAGGTACTGATGGCCTCATCCAGAGCTGGAATACTACAAATCCAAATATTGACCCTTATGATTCATATGGTTAGTGATTATTATTTTGCTGGCTTTCATTTTTGCATGTTTAAAGGAAATCTGTAACATATTCAGTGCACTAGAGTTCAACATGAAATCAAGAAAAAATAATATAGTGAGATATATTTTATATATAATAATATATTATATATATTCTTACATATTAATAAGAACCTGGTGATATGAAAACCTAGGAAACAGGTTGTGTGAGATAGGACTTCTCA